AGAATATTCTTTTATCAATTATAAACACTGTAATAATTCATATACTATGTACCAATTTTTTTGTAATTTTTTGTATAAAAATTTCATAATAATTTAATTATTTAAGGACGATACTTAATATTGATGATTTAAACTTTTTGATCATTTCCATAAATTTAAATTACATTAATAATAATAATTAGACAGGTTTGACAATAATTTTGTAGTATTAAATAATTAATCAATTAATTTCGTTTACATATAATTATAACGTTTATTATTGTTGAAATAATTTTTTATGGAGATTGCACAGGAGAGTCTCTAAAGTGTCAAATCGTCAGAGAAGGTTCTTAAAGTTTATTGTTCAGAGAAAAAAATACGGCAGATTTTAATTTTTCACAATAAATTGTCTTCGTGTTTTTTTTTTAAGCTTTTGATAGACTAATGAACGAAACAATAAAACACAAGTTACATAAAGTTGAAATTTAACTTGTATTTGTTCTTTTTTAGATTATAAATTTTTTAGTATTATTATAAACAATAAATAATAATATATTATTATATTATACTATTAAAATATAATACAAATTAAATAATAAATAACAAGATACAAATTATAAACAGTTGAAATTTGATTTATACACTTTCTTTTTATAATATATAGTAATTTAATTTAATTTGTGTACACGTGCAATATTATAGTAAATTTCGCATAAAAATATTCTGACATATCATTCATTATTTATTTATTAATCATAAAGAATTGTGACGTGAAGGATCTTTGATCTATTCTATTTGAAATTGATAATTTTTATATTAATATTAAAGACGAATAACAATAAAAATAAATATTCACGTTAGATTTAGCGACAAAAACTGTAGATAATTTCAAAAGATTAATACAACTAACGCTGCATTGTATTCTTGCTAGTTAATTGTATTTTTATCAAGATAATTAATATTTTTCTCTTCCGTTAATGGAACCGTACATTGTCATCTATCGCATACTATAGAAAAATGCAAAATTAAATTTAACTGCACGACTATGTCGATGTAACTTTCAGCTGCCGTATGAAGAAACAGAGTAATTAAGAGAAAATTTAAAGAAACAAAAATAATATAATTTTGTATAAATTAAAATATATATACTAGAGTTTGCTTAAAATTTATACATTATGAAATTTAAATATACATGTTTGAAGTAAAATGTTAAAAATTAAAGAACTTCGAACGTAACATAAAATATCCAGTAAATATAATAGACTGTAATGAATTTTTAAAGAAGTTTGTCCATAAAAATTTTTTTCTACAACACTTTTTTTTTTACACATTCTAAAAAATTCTTATATTTGAAATATTTTATATTTTATATAAAAAATTTTTATATTTTGAGTTTTAATACAATGCAAGCCTGATACTTTAACAATCTAATAATATTAGTTTAATACTAGTATATTTTATAAAATTTTCTATTAATATAATGTATAGAATATGTTCAATTGTTGATAATAGTTTTACACATATTTAAAACTATTTATTACTTATAAAATAAGAATGATTGAATGAGATAAAAGATAAGAAAATTTTGTTATAAAAAGAAAAACAGGAAAGATCGAAGCAACTTGATTTATTTAATGTTTATTTTCACGTGATTAATTCATATAAATATTAAAGACGTTAAATTTAGAAAAAAATAAAAATGATATTGTCAAAGACTCGATAATTGTCTTCATTTCTTTAGTAAGAAATTCGTGGAATATTTTCTTTTAGAAAAATATTTATCAATTTTTTTGATCAGAAATATGATATGATTTCAAAAAACATTTTACTATAATACAAAATAAAAACATAAAATGAAATAGATATTATACAATGTTAGAAAATTTTATAAAATATAATATTATACTACGTTATACACATATATGAGATATTAAATTATATTATATAAAATTTTATTAAAATATTATAAATTTATATACGCATAGATGAATCATAAAAAAAGGAAAGAAATTTTTTTCATAAATTTGATTGAATTGTTTTCTCACTATACAATCGATACGAAGAGAAATTGAAATGCTTTCAAAGTGCAAAGAGTATGTTTTCATAGTAGCTCGTAATTTACACGAAGACACTGTACTTCTCAACGTAAAAATAGATTTATATTAAAAATTATTTTTTTACCATACAACATTCTATTATAAATAGAAATTCAATCAACAATGAATATGTTAAACAGCATACCTCTCTTGAGCATTCCTTTTAAATGATAACACGGTGAAGGTATGATTGATGCATCATTGTGTATTGATAGATATAATAGATCGTTAAAGATTAGAATAAACAGGATAGGATCCGAACAAGAAAAACAAATGTCACTTGTCATTTCACTTCTTTAGTAAGGTACCACAATAACGAGGTGCCCAATTAATGTAAAAAAAAAATCGATAAAATTGAGAACACAGCTTAAAATTTGTTAGAATTTAATATAAATTTCAAACTTTACTTTTTATGATATAATAATATAATTCTTTCGCTATAAATTATATGCATATATAAATCTTTTGTCCATAATATTGAATTTCGTTCAAGTTTTTATAAGTGGAATAAGAAATTTTCAAGTGGAATGGTAAAATTAAGAACACACTGAGCTTTATAATGCTCACTTCATGAATTTTGTAACAAAAGAATAAAATTTATTAATTTGTAACTTTATAATAAATTATATAATGTTTTTTTATGAAATTTATATAGCTTATAATAGAACAAAACTTTCGTATATAGACATTGATATAGACAATTTTATAAAGTTTATTTTATATAAGAATTTTTATTAAGAAATTTCACAGTGATGAAAAATTTATTAATTTTTTGTTTTTTATTTATGATTATATTAGATGCATCACCAAGTTTCTATGTTCTGTATTCAATAAAAAATATAGCAATAATAAATATTAAATCATGATAATAAATTAACATTATTAATTATAATTCTACTATAATAGTTAATAATGTTAGAAGTAAATTATAAATTAATCACATTATAATACATGTATAATTATGATAATTAATCATACATCTATATAATTTGATAATTTTTTTATTGAATAAATAAATAGGAAAACTCTTTTGCTAATATAATACGACTACTACTAAATTAATAAATTTCATACCTTACTGTATGCATACTATATCTATACTGAATTTCATTAAATTCACTTCACATAGTACATCCTGCATTAAAATAATAATATCTGTTATTATCTCTTCATGAAAAGAAACAATCTCCTCGTTTCATATCCACACTTATGTGTTTGTACATCAGTCATCACGTTCCTTATCTAAGATATTAACTTTCGAACGG